ATGTATCAATATTATTTTATTATTCAATAGCTGTGTTGCCTGCGAGTATTCAGAAGCATATCCGTTGATTGTTGTGATTCAAACAATTGTCTATTGTTATACTGCTGTTAGTCGCCCCAAATTAAATATATTTGAGCAAGAGATGCACTCTATTGCTTTTTGTATTTTATCTACGGAATTGTTTACTAAATACCAGTCAGTTACACCTGTCTTACTCCCACTCTTAATGGAGAAGCACAGGTGTCAGTTACTTACATAATAATTTGGCCTGAAAAACCTGTATTACAGTGACGATTCATAAGGAAAAAAGAGCCCAACTCAACTCTCTGTTCACTGAATGATATAGGAGAGGTGACATCTAGATAAAAATAACTTTTTTTGTGAAATAAGCACATCTGGAAATTGTTGAGAGGCAATAAATATGAAATCCTACCATGATAACTTTAAAGAGCCAGCTTTCAGAGTAGAAGTACACTTTAGAATGGATTTGAAGTGTACAGCTTTCTAGACCTTGAGGTAAACATTTTGCAAGTTAGAACAGAGGCCACGTCTCTACTCGCGAGAAAGTTGACCTAAGACACACAACTACAGCTACAAGAATAGAGTAGCTGCAGTTGATGTACCTAAAGTTGAGTTTCTGTGGTGGCCTCACTGTGGGAGGTCGATGGGAGAAACTCTGCCATTAACTTCTTTTACTCCTGGCAATCCCCGTGGAGTACGGAAATCAATAGAGGTGCTATCAGTGGTCAATTTAGTGGGTCCTTACTAGACTAGCTGAATCGAACCCCGAAGGTTGATCTCTGGAGCATCAATCTCAGGGTAATTGTAGATCTGGCCTTAATCAGTTTTATTTAATGTCCAAGCCAGACTGCAGTCTAACTGTCTCTTAGCTGCTTTGGCTCCATGTATACATATAAATAGAATGGATGCACAAAGGAAGCATGGCTGATGAATAAGAAGCTACCATGTTTAAATAGTCTCTTTTCTGACCAGAACCACACCTTAATTGTAAAATATAGCTCTTAAGATCTTTTAGAATGGTATATGTGAAGTTTTATGCACATTGTTCAGCTGATACTACATTTCATATTTTTAAAGCAATGGCATAACTTCCCAGAGAAGAAGGGCAGCCCCTTGCTTGGAAATTTGAAAACAAGAGTGGCCAAAGATTGGAAAACATAGTAGGAGAGCAATATAGAAGGAATTTCACCAAATGAAATGAATGGGTAGCAGGTTAAAACTAATAAGTGAAAGTTCTTCTTCACACAGCACATAGTCAACCTGTGGAACTCCTTGCCAGAGGAGGCTGTGAAGGCTAGAACTATAATAGAGTTTAAAGAGAAGCTAGATAAATTCATGGAGGTTAGGTCCATAAAAGACTATTAGCCAGGGAGTATGAATGGTGTCCCTGGAGACGGATGGCACGAGATAAATCGCTTGATCATTGTGTCTTCGGTCCACCCCCTCCGGGGCACCTGGTGCTGGCCACTGTTGGCAGACAGGCTACTGGGCTAGATGGACCTTTCGTCTGACCCAGTACGGCCATTCTTATGTTCTTATGTTCTTATGAATTAATGCTTTATGGGGGTTTTTCCATCATTCACCTCTGTTGTTTTGTGCATCTGTGTTATGTTCAACTGTCATGTTTTTAATTTAAGGCTAATTTGTAAAGACTAAAAATTGGTCATGACCACTTTCTGCAAATTTAAAATAATGTATGAAACACATTGTGTGTGTCTCAAAATTCAAGGTAACTTAATCAAAACTGCCATCATTTGCTTGGTTTTGGATCAAAATTGCCTCATTTTTACAAGTTATCATAAATATCTCCCTAAAACCACTGCAGAGGAAAGGGATCAGAACTTGGCTGTAGTTCACCAAAAGCTTCATGAATTTCTAAACTTTGAGAACCTGGTGCTGGTATTGTATTTGCAGCTAAAAGCTGAGTAAGAATCTTCTGTTGTCTGATTTTGTAACAAATGCTTTGCCACAGTGCTGTTAATTGCTGATCTGTGCAGTTTTCTTTGATCCTTGTTCAGGAGAATGCACTGTTATACAAATTAACGTCCAAGTCAAACCAACAAAGACTTCACAGGAGGGAGTTCATTAATTCAAGATCTTCAGAAAATTGTAAAGCCCATTTGCACATAGCCATGTACTAAAATAAATACTTAATATTACTTGTGAATAATTTCATTTCATATGCTTATGTATTTTGCTGGGATTTTTAAATCAGCCTAGAGCAGTGGTCCCCAACCTTTTTAGGTTGTCGGGCGCCAGGGGGCGTGGCCGTTTGCCCGCCGGGCACCAGGGGGCGGGGACCGGGGGTGCCCCCCC